CAACCAGCACCAGCTCAGGCTAGATTTATTTATTTTCACGTAGCAGCATCATCCATACGGGAAGCTGCAGCCTGAGAGGCCTCTCCACCGCGGGGACCTATAGCGATCACCTGGGTTCTCTGTACCTTTGCACCCTGATTTATCATTGCAGAGGCAGGGAAAATGCTTACAAGGGTAAGGACACTTGCTACAACACCCGCAGCAAGTAACACGTAACTGCTGGTCACTTCCCAAACCTCTCTGTGAACTGCAGTAGCCTTTGGGAGCTGTTTGTTGCAACTCAGTTCACGATGCGACGTTGGAAAGGTCGCAATCCACCGGCTTTTTAAAGGACTCTTGAAAAATGAAGTCTATCCCAAAATTTCCTCTCCAAATAGGAAATATCTCATGCCCGAGAAATATCTTGTTGCTGTGAGCAGTTTGTTCATCCGGCAGGTTGGTGGAGCACAGGGAGGAGGAGGAGGAGGAGGAGGAGAGGCCTGCAGGCCCCAGGCCTCGCTGCCGCCTCCCGCTGCTCCGTCTGCAGCAGCACCTCAGGGGCAGCCCAGATGTGCTTCGATCACGAGGTACCCGGCGCAGAATCTTCCTCTAACTTCACAGGCAGGAACAGGTTGGGGGATATCCCGGCTCTGCTCCTCCTCCTTGACCACGATAAGATTCTCTGCAGGAGACTCAGACACCTACACACACTCTCTCCCTGCTCTCCCTTTGTATTATTCCCAGTTCCTAATATTCAGATTATTATTCCATTTTCAAAGCCACATTATTTATGTCTCTAATTTCTGTAAGTGCAGCATGGGACTTCTGTTAAACAGACCCATTTCAGAGACGGTGCCAGGAGCAGTTCCTGCAGGTAGCTCCCACGGCCTTGCCAAAGGTATCGCCTTCCTCCGTGGCCAGTAATTCCCACTGACTCTTCTCTAGCTCCCTTGAAGAGTTTTCCCCTCCTACCCTGTTTTCTGTCTACTTGTTAAGACTGAAAATGTTACATTTTTTTCCAACTTAAATCAAAGCTGTTGGCATTAGAGGAGCAGGTCTCCAAGAGCAGCCCGGTGGTTCCTTCCTGTCAGACAAGAACCGTGAGGCAGCTCCTCAGAACTTCCCTGTGACCATGGYAGGACCAAGGTTTTATCAGCGCTCTTGAAATCCGATGCACTTTCCTGTCATCTCCCCAGTGTAGCTCCAGAAAAGTAATTCCAGGGCAGAGTTTGTACAGAGATACTGGGCATATGTTTTCCTGAAATGCTAGGCATACAGCTAGAAGGTTCATTTCATGGCAGCATAATTATGGTGGGCACTAGAAAGGGAAAAACAGTAACAATAAAGTGAATTTTCCTTGTTAGATGACCCYTGTGGACCAATATGCCAAAGATCTCGCCTCCTAAAAGAGGAGAAAAGAAACAGATTGCCCAAATAATTCCACAAAATTGTTTGCCAGCACAACCAGCTATAAAGATGTCATATGGTTTGTCATTTGAGTAGAGCACAAAATAATTCAAAAATTGAGCAGAGGAGGAAAGGAAACTACTTTCTCCTGGGACTAAACTATGTTAGACGGTTGATCCTCCCCAGAAAGCCTGAAGTCCCATTCTTGTTTGACCACTCTGCTAGTCAAAATTGGGAGTATTAATTAGCTGATATGTATCTAACACTTCAAAGATGTAAGTATTAGGTATGTGACTTTAAATGATAATTATGTTTGTGCAAAAATTTTGGTGCAATAATTGCAGCTTCTTACTGATGAATGGTAAATTGATGCATTCCAGTTCACTTTGCTGGAGATTTTAGAACTCTGTTAAAGTGTTGGGTAGGATTAATGTAATTAAAATACAGTCCAAATGAAGCACTTTAGAAAATATCCCTACAAAAAATCAAGATATTATGACATGGTGAAACAGATATTCCTACCTCATTGCTGCATCTTTTAAAAATATCTATAAGGAGTCTTTTGTTCTAATCATAAACAATAATCTGAACCAAAATGTGCACTAATTAACAACTCCTTATTTAAAAGTGAAATGACTGAATTACTTCAAGTATTTGCATAGCAACTTTTTCCCTAACCTCTCTTGGAATAGCAGCCTGAGACTATCCTCACGCCAGGAAACAAGCTACTCGCCAGCTGCAATTTTTCTTCACCTGTCCAAAAGACTCACTAGGCAGTTGTAAATACTATCAGGAATGATTAGTATTGWGATCACTGGGCTACTTTAAAGCAATTACCTTTATGGTGGAAAAAAAAAAAGAATTCTAAGGACATTTCAAAGTACACGCTTGATGCAATTACCTGATCTTTTTTTTTGTCTTTTTATCAGCAGTGCCAAACACTGTTAGCAGAATTACAAGAGGAGATGAAGAAAGTGCAAAGATCTTGACAATACAATCAAGATTATATATATATTTCTTTTAATAAGAATAAGAATTGCTCACTCTTTTTATTAAAATAACATTTTAAAGCTTATATGTGTCACATGAAGGGTACTCTACTTATTTCCACTTTCCATGTAATATACAAACTTAAACATAAAATACGTTATTTCCACAAAAAGAGTTTTTTTAGTTAGTCACAAAAAAAAAGCTTTGTTACTCACAGTGGTTTACATTAACTTAATAACATGGAGAGATGTGTTTTAAAGTAKGGAAATCCCAACAACCCACAGACCTGAGCAATGGTGGTGCAAACAACATCTGCACAAGTAGTTGAGGGGACAAAAAGGAAGCGAGGGCAAAGCTTGGGTCAGCCCACCATGAAAGATGCTAAGTTCCTTGGGAAGCAAAGCAGAACTTGCCCATGTCCAGTAGCCCACATTAAAAAAAAAGAAAAAAGAAAAGTAATAGATAGTTGTTCTCAACCAAAGCCACGCTTGCTTAAACATACTGTTTCTCCTATCCCCCCTTATTACAAGGTCAGAATTGATTATCTGATGAATAAGCTGTTACTCAATTATGACTTAACCCAATCCCCATCAGTCAATCCCAGGCACACCTTTCAAACCACAAGAAAAATGAATGTTCATCTCCTCCTCTTCTTTTCCCACATCTCCTACCTCCTCCCCACCCTTTCCACTCCTCCTGGATTACGCATTCTGGGATTCACTTTCTTGTTCCAGACACAAGAAATAGAGAGGCCTCCACACACTTCTACCTGGAACAAATTCCAGTAACTCCCCCTTAAAATCGCGGTCCCACATTGCTGTGTGTCCCTTCACTCTCCTCTTGACTCCCCAATGCTGGTCTCCCAGTTTCTCAGTGAATTCCAGAGTTGCAGCCCTTAACCCAGCTCTGCTCCTTTGTTCAGAAACAACTTCTATTCACCCAGAATGAACCCAATGCCTTTAACACAAAGTGGTCAAAAGAAATAGATACTCCTGGATTTAATTCTAATCACTATTCCACACGCTTTGCAAGTGGTATATATTGTATGCCACATGCTAAAATGCTTCATTTATAGTGCTGACATTTTCATGTTCCCCGTATCTATTTGGAATACCAAGCTCTAGCGTGTGCAAAAAGATAAGATTATTAGTGTGTGCAAAAAGATAAGATTATTAGTGTACGCAAAACGTGACATCAGAAGTGTGCAAATCCCTTGTTTGCATGTGCAAGAGAAATAGCTGTACCAGAACTACTTGTATCTGCAATTATTTGCTTTACTATTTGCTTGCTAAATTGATTTGGCATGTGACTATATAGCAGTACGCAGCTCCCCTTCTCCTGTGGAGCTCTCTTGGGGAGCTCTCTTGGGGAGAGAGAGAAGGATAAAATTTTCAGGTTCATGGATTATACTGATTACCTAATGACAGTGATTACCAGCTAATCGTTATAGTGACTGCAAACTAACTGGTACAGAAATAGTTTGTGCTGCAAGAAATGAAAACTCCGGCTGACAAAACATCAGAAAATGGAAGGAGTCGCCCAATCCCCAAAWCAGAACTGCAGCAGGTTGTGCTGCTCTGGGAGAAAACATGGGCCTAGAAAGAATAACACACAGTTCATAGGTACGATACATACACACGCTCACATACATTCACATCGTTCTTTTTATCCACTGGGCAAATACAATAAGGCTTCCTAAGCGCCCTTGCAGTAGGGGTCAGAAAGTGGCAATGTTGAGYGCTCTGCAATCAACAGATGCCACATTTCGAGGTTTTAGTACATCCTTAAGCTGTGCTCCATAGGAAATCTGGTATTACCTCCCCTTGGAATACTTTACTTTGCACCTGTGCTTCTTTCCATACTGCTAAAGAAATCTCTCTMTMTATATATGTATATATAAAATTAGCAAGGCTTGTTGCTTGGCCACAGTCCGCTACTGTTTGAGTTAGGGGACATGCGAGTTCCAGTAGCAGGTGAGTAGAAAGCTGTGAGCCTGGGGTCCGAATACAGGAGAGCAGGTGACCCACTGTCACCTCAATCTCCTCTGGCCTRCACAAGTGGGAAGTGGGATGTGAAGCCCTTACAGAGGGCAGTGGATCGGCTGGATTTGGAGGGGAGCTGGTGAAGAGCTTCACTTCAGGTCTTTGTCTTTCATCTTTTAAAGCTTTTCTGTCCTGGGTGACACAAACCTCTTGAGCCAAGGAGGAAAGTTCAGCTCCCATCTCTCCCCGCTCATCCCTCCCCAGCTCCAGCTGTTTCCACCATAGAGCCCGCTGCAGCTGTTGCCAAAGAAAACAAGGCATTTTCCTACCTTAAGGGCATTCCCCTTTGAACATGAAAAGTCTCTAGCAAACAATGCTGCTGGAACAGCTTTGCAAAGAAAAGGTCACCAGAATTTTTCATAATGGAAAGTATCAGGCTACCTATAGGCAGATGTTGCTTCCAGCTCACCAACATTACACATGCTTGCAAATGCWCTTTGTTTAGAAGGGAGCTAGCCTTTGCTGAGACACTGCATGGCCCCAGTGACGTAACTCGAACTCATCCTCCCTCCAGCTGTTTTGCAATCACCTTAATTGCTAGCTCTTAAAAATAACAGATTTTTAGCTCTTTGGGAAGAGAACAGCGGCATGCAGTAAGAAGCCAAGCAGACTGCAGGGTGCTCTGGAACAGCAGCTGTCAGGTGAAGTGGGGGAACGAAGCAGGGGAAAGGAGCTCCAGTGCCCCTGGAGCGCCTGCGGGAGCGGGCAGAGCGTGTGAGAAGCTGCTGACGGGGCCCAGGGACAGCTCGCAACGCGGAGAGCCGCTGCCCGCAGGGGCGGCTGGGCCGGGGGCCCCGCGGAGCGCGGGCAGGAGGGCGCTGGCAGCAGCGGGAGCGCCCGGCGGCGGCGGGTTCCTGCTCTCGGCAAGAGCCCCGCGCAGCACAGCAGCCGTGCGGTGCAGGGCGTCGCGTCGTGTCCCCGCGGCCAGGCCGCCCATGTGTGCCTGTCCCTGCAGCGAGTGCAAGGGTGGCACCTCTGCGAGCAGCAGCGCCAAAGCCGGGGCGCTGCCGCTGCTGCTGCTGCCGCGGATGCTGCTGCTGCTGCCGCTGGAAAATGAGGGTGCCGAGGCCGAACTGAGCATCTGCACTCTCTGGAAAGTGCTGGAGACAAAGCTAGTGGGAAAAATCCTGGAGAGCTACTGCGGAACGACTCTCCTGCACCAACCTTCAGTGCGCTAGGAGGTCCTCCAGATGAGCATAACAAAATTACTTTACTATGGAAAGTAGGCACAATTTACATGCACACCCCAGATATTTCACATTCATTTCTCTGTGAGTTCTCCATATAGGCAAGGCTTTAGCAAAGAGGACAGCTATGATTCTCTGCATTTTAGCATTGCTGGGAAGGAGGAAAGGAGCTGAGGTCTCTAAGTTCCAAGGGTTGAAGGCTTTAAATTTTCAGGGCAACTAATTGCACCAAAACCCAGAAGTCACTATTTCATAAGCAAAATGGCTTGCTTTGGGTTTCTCTTTTGATCTCCCATGGTGCTTCTGAACAGCTTAGAAGACACCAGTTGGAAAGCTGGCAACTGGGAATGTATTTGAGCACCAGCACAAGAAAAGCAGGAACCCGGCCACACCTTCCATATATCACACTCCTGTCAAGCCCAATGGGAAGCTCCCYGGCAGAACCACTCTTCTTAATGATCATGTGTAGCTTTTCTGGAGAYTTCAGCACCTTTCCATACATGAATCCGTGACGTACTGCACCGAAACCTGGAATGCTCCTTCAATCCGGCCTTCCCCTCCCCGCTTGAAAGAGCCACAGCCCATCTGYTCTCTGCAACCGAGTGAAAGGCAGAAAGAAAGAAAAACAAGCACAACCCGAGTTTGACTAACTGCAAAAACACACTCAAAACCACCAGAATTGCTGCTGAAAAACGAAGTATCTGAGCTGCTAAATTTTAAATGCGAGATCTTGAGAAAATGGAATTTGACTAACAGAGGAAACTGGCAATTACAGGTCACTGAAAATTAAAAAGGTTCAGATTTTGCCCAAGTCATGGCGAAGAGACTTCTTCCATGTGATAGTTTTAATTACTTGACGTGAAGTCACCATATCCCATCTTATCAACTGGTTCACAGACACCATGACTCACATTGAAGCAGAGGCTACCAATCCAGATTACATCTGGAAACTGAGCTTGGCTCTGCATATCCAAACAGAAGTAAAAGAAGTAGAGCTGGCAATCTGAACCACGAATAATAAGAAAAGAGTGCTTTTCTGCCATCAAATACACCTATTATCATGGAATTGGAGCTTAGAAATCCCAATGAGGCTCATGCTCCCATGTCTGACAAATGACACATCCACCAGTTTCCCTTCAATTGCCCACATGCCTCAATGTTAGCACGGATCAAAAGCGAGGAATGACACAAATGCAGTGGGGGGAGAACGAACAATAGGCCAGGTAAATAATCTACAGAGATCAATAGGTTAATTTATCCTGCCGCCTTTTATCTTTATGAATGCCATCGGGTACATGGGTGGCTTTCCAAACCATGCCCCACAAGGCTGGGCACGTATCCCAGCCCGGAGACTCCAGCAGCTCCTCAGAGCTCCTTCCTCTTCAGAGTCCAGCAATCCCCTGCCACGGACACACACACAAACCCCTCTTCCTTCTGTGCTCCCAAGCTTTCCTCTGTCCTCCCTTCCTTCTGTGCTCCCAAGTTTTCCTCTATCCTCCGCGACTGCAGAATCTTTTAGTTGCAAGGATGTTTTCAGTCACGCTTCTGTATCCCAAGACCACTCTTTTTTTTTTCAGGAAGCAACATAATTATTTCTCAGATCTGACATATACTTTATTTCTACATGCAGAGAGATTCCTTATTTTACAAAGGGGCCAACAGAAGGAAATTTTCTATTACAATTACTCAGCAAGAAAAAGTAAGTTATATGCAAATAGATTAGATAAAATAAATAGCTGTCGACCTGATACTGCCTGATGACAAAAGGTCAGATTGCAGCTTTATCTCTCTCTTATCCATGACTCCCACGTATCATGTGCTTCATTTTTTCATGAAAGATGTTAAGGACAGAACACACAAGGAAAAGATCTTCCTGCGTCAGCCTGACCATCAGTGAAATCTCCCCCCGGATTTGTTCAGCAAGATGTGGCAGGGTGCAGCTGCGTACAGCCACATCGGCAATGAGGAATGGGAGAATCCAGGCTGTGCTCGCCCAAAACTACCTTCATAATATTCTCAGGGTCATGAGAATATGGGGGTTGTAAGGGCTATGTCTCCTTACCTCTAACCACGTGTTCTCTGCGTATCAGAAAAGCTAGTAAGAGCCTTAAAATTAACGGAAAGAGACAACTGCCTCAGAGAAGGGATCAGTCGCTCRGGATCTGGCTATGTTAAATCTGGCTGTGTTCAATTAGGTATCTTAGAAGCAGGGACTTTGAGAAAACACTAACAAGGTCTTTGGCAAATGTTTCCAGGAGAAAGAAACTGTTTGGAGAGCAAGAGGCTACACAATCCTGCAAAACGGTATCTAATATACGGAGCTACATCTGCAATATCCAGTCCTAGGGACACGGTGCCAATTGTCCCAGTCATCTTTGTGAGAAAACTCTGCTGAGGAAAACTGCGTCTCCTAAATCTCCATATTCCTCCCAATAAATTATTGCACAAGGTTTTTATTGCCAGTCACAACAGCATAAGGCACAAATGAGAATGGGACTCTGAGAATGGAAGAACCTTGAATTCAAAACAAGCCCAAGGACCAACACATGATGACGCCATCTAGGTCATTTCCATGCACACAGTAAAAASAGGTTATGGAGCACTTGGGAGCATTGCAAAAATGAACAAAAAATGTTTCTATCAGATGGCAATTGACAAAACGTGGTGAAAAATCTCCCAACAGAATTTTGCTACTTTGCATTAAAGAGAACAATGTGAGCGCTTCAAAGCTCTACTTTGCCTCAAAAGCAAATGGTTCTTCTGGTCTTCCTGAAGACCTCAGACTGGCGACCTCAGCAACTGGAACGAACAGAGCCTTGACCCACACATGTGAAGGCAATTCTGAGTCAAATCAATGAACRTGTTCTAAAGGAAAAATCAGGTACTGCTGATAGAAGTTTTCCACCTGTATCTTGAGGGTAGGGCTGTAGGCATGGAACACATACCATTCAGGAGCTGGGCTTCCCCCGTGTCACAGTACTTAGGAGAGCTTTGTCACATTCTTTCTAAGTGCATCATTGAGGGTGGTGTTCCTAAATGGATGGGTGGAGGAAATTTATCTGGGCAGGAGATTAGAAGCAATTCAATTTTGGGAGATAATCTGACATTTTTGTCTTTGTAACAAACTATAATCCAACTATGTGAGTTGACATTGCCACCTGGAGCGGTTTCACCAGCAGACACTGTTTAGCAGATGAAAATGAATAGCATTATAAAGCTTCTCTTTTGGAATCATAAAGGTATAATTATGACATGATGATGATTGATGTCATCAAGTTTTTCATGAGAAGACTACTCAAACAAAGGCCTTCTACGCAGAACTTCCTGAAATGCTGACTTGAAAAGTTCATCACTAACAATCTGCAGGACTGACATTGGTAAAAGGAATGAAAACTCRTCCTCTGAGTTCCTTCAAAGTGTTTTTCACAATAACCACCTTTTTCCAGTCTCTGTAAAACACACCACAAGTAAAAGCAAAAATGTGGGAAGGAGAGGAATAGCTCTGATGGTCTTGAGTGTAACCTACCTTCCGCAGGAGGATAAACTGGAGGGGGCAGCCAGTTTTAACTGTGAAAATGAACAAACCAACTGTGAAAAGGGAACACGCTCATTGCACATCTTCTACAGAAACACAAAGCACTAGATAAGCAAAATTTTGCTGCTCCTAGAGGAGCAGAGTTGTCAGAAGAGTTCGGGGAACTCAGTCTGGCCAGGAAGCGAAGGTGCCACACTGACGCAARGAGCCCATGGGGCTTGTCACAGCAGGGCTCCATGAACAGCTCTTCTTTTGCCTTCCTCGCACTCTCTTTTGCAGCTGCTTTAGCTGTTTATATCAAAACACTCTTCTGACTAATTATGTTCTACAGAAAGAGAGAGAAAAAAAGCAAGAACTGGGGGAAACTGGGGCAGGACAGCTGAGCCATCGGTTCCTGCAGGCTGGCAGTGCTACTGCCAGTCACTGAGATCATGCGCARCAAAGAGCCCAGCAGCCCAATGGGGGTATTCAGGGCTTACTGGAATACTGTTTACTCCTATCTCAACCTAAAACTTAAACAGAAATGGTTTCTTGCATTGCTGCTGAGCAATATTTAAAAATCATATATATTTTTTTTTAAACAAGCCAGTTCAGGAGGCAAATCTTTGGATTTGCTCTGCTGAAAGTTCTTACACAAAATCCCCTTGAAACCTGGAAAGTTTTCCTTTCCTAAAGAAGCGCGTGCTGTTCTAATGTGTATTCCACGGCAGCAGCAGCAGCATCCGTGTAAACAGGGCTCCGCGGGCACCGTGAGTAACGACCCTGTTTCCATGAGAAGCCCTTTATCCTGCGCAAGAGGTCCGCACGCTAATAGACGTCCTCGGCTAACGCTAACCGGCTGCAGCTGGCTCCCGGCTATAAAAAGCACTAATGAAAACATAAATGCTGCCTTCTCGGCTGGCCCCCGCGCGTGCGTCAGGGCTGCGCGGAGGCATCGGCGCCTTCCCCGGGCTCGCCGGGAACGGGGCGGCCGCAGGGAAGCGGCGCGCCGCTCTCTGAGGAGCGTCACGAGGCCTGCACGCTCCGGCGGAGGCTGGGAAGCGCCGCTGTGCACGGGGCGGCCGACGGAGACGTGTGGGCGCGTGGGGCGGTGCCGCTGCCGTGGCCTCCCGGCCCTTCCGTGGAGAGGAGGAAGGGGCGCGCGGGGACACGCGCGGGACGGGGAGCTTCACAGCACCGGCCCCACGGGACACGTGTGGGTCAGGGAGCTTCACAGCACCCTCCCCACAGGACACCCACGGGCCAGRGCACTTCACGCTGCTGGCCCCACGCGCTCGCAGGCTTTTGTGCGGGACCTGTGTTTCTGTGGGGCCAAATGTGAAACGCAAGCCAAATGTGAAGCAGCAGCCCCGAACTTTGCAAATGCTCATACAGAAAACACACTTAATGGGGAAGAGTTAAATAAATAGTAACTGTCACAAGCTCAGCTAAAAACATGGGGGTGCTGAAGTGCTTCTGCTACTCAGCAGCTCAAGCCTGCCTTACAGGCAGCRTCTTGGCTTTATCAGGCTGTTTAGACACCGCTGAGAACGGGTTAATTTTGTCCTGAAAGCAGCTACTTTTCCCCTTGTGCGCGGGCCAGGGGCACGTGGCCGCCGGGTACARCCCGGCCCATCATTCCCACCAGGACTGGCCGTGCGTTTCCTGACTTCTCAGAACTGTCACCGGCCGGGGCTGCCCCAACCTTGTCCTGCCTCAGTGGAAAAAGGGGAGGCTTCTTTTAGAAGCGCACACAGCATGTGACAGGACTACCTATTCTCAGCTTTACTTTGCTTCTCAAAATGCTGGAAGTGGATCTTAAACTCAGCTGCTGAAATCTTTCCAATAAATATGATTTATAGCTTTTAACAGAGGAAAATTCTTTTATGTCTAAGGCTGCATAGGAAATGTTGTGATCTTCATGCTAAAAGCTCAGAAACACTCTGTACATTTTAAAGTATTCTACAGTTCTGTTCTAGCTAACCTTGGGATAAAGTCTATTTGTCTACATAGGAGTTGCCTAAATTTAATGTAGGGATATTAGAAATATCTTATCAGACACAGCACAACCCTCGACAAGCATTTAAAACTAAATTAGCTGACTGCAGTTTATTGATCTGCTGAAGTTACAGCCTCAAAATCAGAGGCAGAGCCTCTTTCTGCCTCGGCTTCCTCTCATCCTCCTCTCTGCTCACAATGGGATTTCAGTCCTTTGGTTTCAAACCCACAACATGCAGCTCGGCTCAGTTCCTCCCAGCTTACACTGCTCAAGTGAAAGCAAGCTCAGAGATTTTCCTGATTTTTGAGGCATCCACTTTAAATGCCTGTTTTCTCCAGTGTTATTGCTACAATTCTCGTCCAGACCCTGGCAGCCCAATTACAGATGATGAGTCAGATGTACACAGCAGCACAGTATACATGAGCTCCTATTACACATAATCTTCAGCATTTCTGAATAGCCTTGGCTGCAAGGAGTTTTGGCAGTTTAAGCTCATGCAAAGGAAATACGCACTTAGAATTTAATAGAAATAACAAAGAAATGAAAAATATTTTTGCAAAGATTAGGCACTGAATGTTTTTGTTAACAAGTTCTTCTACTTCCTATTTATGTTATTTAATTTTATCAGTTAATTTATAGCTCTCTATTGAAGATGTGACATAAATTGTTGCATTCGAATTAGTTTCCTGGCACACTTTTTGTCATGTGGAATGGAATTTACAGATTTGGCATTTGTTCAGAGGCAGGGGAAACACATAATCCCATCATTGTGGGACAGAGACAAAAACATGCGTAAGTGTCGTGACTAGATCATATCTGAGATGAACAACGAGGAGAGCCGGTGTCCCGGACAGGTTAATGCATAGCAGGAGCTGCAGGGGCTTGGAGGGGATTCAGGGACACTCCGAGGGGTGGGTCACATAAAACGGCATCGTGCAGTTTTATGATTGCTCCCGTATTCACCATACGAGGCTTCCTTCTCCAGCGACCTACCACGCACTCCCTCACCTGGGACCATAGCTCCCAGATTCAGCTCCATCTCCCACCTGTGACACTGGGACTCCAGCAGCTTCTCTCGCCCCATCTCACCAGGACGGCCTTCCTCCAGTGCCCCTCCAGCTCCCTCCAATGCCAACTGTCATGTAATTTTATACTTCTAAATAATTTTCTTAAAAATTACTTCTTTTCTAGGAAAGAAGGTCGCTGCTGGACAGGAGAAGACAAAACAGGATCATACAGTGACAGGATGAGTTTCAAGGGCCAAACTGCAGCCCAAACCCATGGAGACAGGGAACCTGCAGAGACTGCACTTCCCASTGGAGCTTGCTCCTACTCAGTATTTTCATTGCCATTCACTGGAGGCATATGTTCTTCTCCAAGCCCTGCAAAGACCTCTGAGGCAAAAGAGGGAGTAGGGGGATTAATTTAAAGATGCTTGATGGCTTCAGCAATCTGTAGTGAATCCCTCCGCAGTTTGATGTTGCTGACTGTTGGGCTCAGAGAAATGGGACAAGAATAGCAGGTACTGCAACAGTCAGGACTTGAAAGAGACTGTCATGGGAGCTTAAGATAACTTCATTAAGTGCTCCTAACATCTGTAAGTTGCATCCCAGTATTAAATCACAAYGCTTACAAAAAGATACAGTAACTAAAAAGGAATCCTCTAGAGTTCTTTTTTTTGRTTTTTTATTTCTTAATCTTTAATATTGTATACAAGAAGTTGTATACAAGATTAAGATACAGATGCGAAGACACCTGTCCTACTAAGAGTCAGCTCTTTTGAAGCCAAACAATACAAATTCTCTTTTTTTTATATATTTATTAGAGTGTGCACATCAGTTTTAAAACCACACCAGACGGACTTTGGGACCAAAGACTTTCTTCTTTCCTAGAGAGTAAGACTGTGTTTGTAGGATCCTTCGAAGCAGTATTGATTTATACACATTTTACATATCCAAACAGAAGCTTTTTCAAAGCTGATAACAAAAAGTGAATCCTAACAAACTGCATCTTGGGAAACTTGCTATTATAATTGAGTCTATAGTGATTTTTCTTTGTGCATCTACTGATCTATGCAGAAACTAAGTGTGTGCATAGAGAGAGTGTTTACCTGTCCAAGTCGCACAGAAATTAYCTACAGTATTTGGGTAGTTTAGATTTCTCTCCTAACTGTTAACTGAGCATGTGTCCATCCAGGTATTTAGAACATTTATCACTGCTATGGCTCTCGCCTTCTGTACCATGGTAGCAGGAAAACAAATTCCAGAGACACAGTCTGGCTTTTATAAATGTTTTGGAGAGCTGCTCCAGCATGACTTCCACACTCCCTTCAGGTCAGGACTGCACTCATGCATTTAGTGAAAGGTAGGGGTGTAAAACCCACGTGGAAGATTTCTGCTCTCAGTTCTGTCAGCCACATAACTTTCAAGATACAAAAATTCAAGGGGAAGAAAGGTCAAAAATTAAGGGAAAGATTCCATACCTTTTACGTAGGGGCATCTTGGAATAATTCTTGACAAATAGCAGGTGCTGGAAAATTACTATTCCTGGTTTCAATGAGACAATGTTCTACCCCACATACCTTGATCATGGCTCTAGGGCTGGAAAATTACCTTCTCAGATAGTGGCCTTTCTACTCCTTGGAGTGGTTGCCACTATAGGACAACCTATGAGTGACAGCTTTGCTCTTCCCCTTCTCCTCTAGTTTTTGTAGTTCTTCTAAAATGATTTTTTGGTGGATTGAGCCATGAAATGGGCAGCAGGGGGAAATGCAATGTTCAGGTGCAAGAAGCTTGCCCAGGTCACTAAAGCACCATTTCAGTCAGATGTAGGAAGGGGGGAAAAAACAAATTGCAAGATGAGTGGTGGGGAATGCAGAACTGTGGACCGTGATGCTTCCATAATATTTATTTCTCTACACTATTTACCTCTCTCTGGGATTTCTCTATCATGGAAAACAAACCTATCAGTAGATTTACTCCTATTTCTTGCCCCACAAAAGAATCTTTACCGGTTCCTCCTTTGGAAACATGCGGACACGTTGCAGTCCGAGCGCACACGCGGCCCTTGGAGGAGACAGGGGTGTCCTGCACGTGGCCTGTGCCCCACACCTGCCTGCCCCACTGCACGGCTGCTCCCCAAAGAGGCTGAGCCTGCGCCGTGCTCGAGCTCTCGCCTGGCTACCATCTTCCTGGGATGCTTTTGCTGCACCAGCTACTTCATCAGACGTGTTTTAGAACAGAAACCAAGGGAATGGAGAGGAGAGGAGAGGAGAGGAGAGGAGAGGAGAGGAGAGGAGAAGGAAAGAGGAATGGAAAGGGAAAAGGAAAAAGGGAAAAAGGAAAAAGGAAAGGGGAAAAGGGAAAGGAAGAAAGCAAAAGGAAGAGGGAAAGGAAGAAAGCAAGAGGAAGAAAGGCTTTTTATTTAACTGTCCAGTCGCAGCACAGGGTCTAAGCCCAGTGGTTTGTGTTGGGGGAGCTTTTCCCCCCCCTGTACTGAGTCTATCAGATAACGGTGCTTTCACCTTGCCCCTAGACAGAATAAGATCATGTAAATATTTAGCACTGAAAAATAAACGGGAATGTCAAAGTAACAAATCGTTGTACTGCAGTGGCACTGGAAGAAGCCCAAGTTTCACCTTTCCATCTGCAGCAGCAGCGGAACAGATTTTCAGGGCTACCTGGGCAATGACATAGGTAATCTCTATGGAAAATATCTAATGCAGTTTAATGTTGCAGCTGGACTACGTGATTTCCAAGCTGCTTTTTTTTCCCCGTAGTCGTTTGTCTGTGTTTGTCTGCGTTTTGGTGCCCCAGTTTGAGAATTACCAGAAGAGCAGGGTGGAGGCAAAGGGAATAATCCCAGTGTTGGGGAGTCTTAACTGTGCTCAAGGAAAGAAAAGAGAAGAGGCTTCGAAGCAGGAACAGGTTCCTAGATCCTGGGAAGCAGAGCTGCGAGGAGAACAGTTACCAGCCTGCCAGGCAGCAATTAGATGACTTTGCAAGGATATTCATTATTTTCACTTCTGAGGAGGATCTGAAAAGGGGAAATCAGAAAATTTCTAGTGTATGGAGTACTCTCTAGTGCACTTCAGTTACCTATTTCCTGTTTATTTCCCACTTGAAAAATCACATCCCAGGAACATAATGTATTTTTTAAAAACTTACATTTATGACCATTCCCTTTAAAATGTTTTGTTGAAAAACACAAAAAAAACAACTGGAATGCTGTAAACAGATTTAAGTCAGCCACAGAAAACATACTGACAGATGTTAGCATCTGCGAACGGGGATCTTTATGGCAGTCCTTTCCAACGTGGGCCGTTTTCAGAAAACCAACCCCCCGCTGCTTTATTTTTAAATGTGCCTTACAAAACATAAGCCGAGTTCTCCTTGCCACACGCCCGACTTCCCGACATCCCAGTGCACCCACTTGAAATGCCAGTTGGGGCACCTGACACTCAACTGGTACTTGTGGAAGCTGCCGGGCAGGTTGCCACACTGGCTGCTTCTGTAGCCAGGTAAGCGAGCAGGATTAGCTGAAGAGAGAGAGGGAAAGGGAAACGCTATTTTGAAAGGCATCAGTCTTGCAGGATTAGTACTGGCCTGCCAATAGAGCCATTTTACACGGAATTACGTGGGCAGGGAGCGCACAGAAGTCTGCAGGGAGTTGCACTGTGAATCCCAGCCTCTGGCTGCAGCGTTTCCGTGGCCCTGTCAAAACCAGAAACGCTCCTTTGCCCACGTGGCCACTTCTCCCAGCCACTCCAACAAATGCTTGGCTGCTCTAAATATTTTCTTCCCCCGGGGTCCTGCTCGCATGGTAGCTGGCCTGTTTCTCCACGAAAACAAAATTGAGAGTAAAACCCAAAAGAATCCCTTAAGACTGGAGTGGGGAGCCCGATTTTTGAAAGTAAATGTGTTGCCTTTCCTTTGATCTTGCTCTAGAATATTGTTGTGGGCTGGAGTGCTACCATTCAGGTGGGAAGTAGGTCAAAGCAAAATGCCAAGAGAAGCGAATGGAAAGTTTCTTTACTCACCCACGAAGATTTTAGCATGTGTATGCACAGCCATTGCTAGCATTGTCTTACTTGGGAATTGCTTAGCTTTTCTTTCTTAATAGACAACACCCTTCTCTCTCTCCAGCTTCCTAACCCAAAGCTTTTGAGCCTCCTGACTGGTTTAACTGCCTARTGGTGCTAAAAAATGTGCCTGTTTTAGCTTCAGCAGCTACCACACAATGATCCCTGGCCTTTAAGGAACCAAACTGACCAGCGCTATTTTTTGCTGAACTCACGTGGCCCGCTCAAAACAAACAGATCCTGGCAAAAGCAAAATCCAAATTATACACTGCTTTATCCCCAGAACACAAAGTACAAGGTCGACACAGTGAGTCAGACACCTCAACGCCAGAAAGCGCCTCAGGTTGACAGGAGTCTTTTGGACTTGTGCGTGTAGACTCCGGGTGATTTCCAAAAGAGTCAAAATATTCACTTTTAGACAAAAATATACTGTATCATGTGCAAAAGTCTCCCTGATGAGAGGGGAGAAGGCAGCCAAAAGTATGCCAGGAATGCCGGSAAGGGGCAGATAGTCATGGCAAGTTAGATTTTCTTGCTTTTTCCTCCTTCAAACTCCATGAGCACGCGAAGTTCAGTTGCAAGAACAGTTGATTGCTGAGGGAAAAGGAAACGATTTGACAATAACAGGGGGAATGTGAGAATAATTTACGTATGACAGAAGCTGGAGAACATTTTTATCGTTGGACTGGTTTTTCATCATCCTAGGAAAGCAGACTTCAAATAAATAGACTTTAAAACATCATTTTCACTTGTCTAGCAGCATTCTATACATTCATCTTTATGAACAATAGGGGCTAGATACAGGTAGGCATTCCCTCATTTATAGAACTTTTCCCCACTTTAAATAATTCAACAAATCTATTTCCCTAAAAGGAAAAACAAAATTTCTCCCACAATTTGCCAGTCTCCTCCTAGAAACTGGATGTCCCGAACACATCACTCTCCCCGTTCCATATTTAATTTCAAGCCTGCTTCATTCTCCTGTGCTTTTATGCTTCCCTTGGCAGCTACATCTAAGCTATTGTGGAGTGTTATAAGGAACGACGTGCAACGAAATAGCCCGTCTAAAATACAAACAAATTAACTATTTGTCTGCCTTGTAGATGAATAGATTAGAGAATTAGAAAATTTTGTTTCCAAACCAATGCATTCCCTCACTCATCCCGCCTCCTCAAACACAAGAGTTGTTCTCATGGCAGTTTTGTTTTGTAGAAAGTAGTTTACAATTAGCTTTACACAGGAATGACCCTGGGGGGCTCCGGGGGCTGCCGGGAGGTGCTGGGCCTATTCCTTCCCTATCAGGCGGCSGACGTTTCCGTCACAGAGGACAGAATCTCCCACGGACGCCCCTCAGCCACAAACACGCACCCGCTGTCCCCAGTCCGCCCTCGTTCARAGAGCTGCTCCCTCCTTTCCAAAACAAGAGTGCAGGCTCATTTTTCTCCTCAGAGAAGGCAGAYCCAAAGCACGGGCTGAGAGCTGAGAATGGCAACGACCAAGCTTGTTTTCTGAGCTGCAACATCTACCAAATCCGAGGTGCTTCCAAGATTTAACAACTGCATATGGGTTTACCCCTTACTGCATGCAAAGGACCTTCCTTTTTGAAYTTTACTTCTGTTTCAAGTGTGATTAATAAGTGCCACCTTGAGCTCTCTGTTAGTGTCCCCTCCTCCTGGCAAGGGGGTGCACGGGGCCGACCCCTACCTGCACTCCGTGATTGCAAGTTCCGTAGCATTTGGGAATAAGAGGTTAGAAGGAGACACGGAGAGGGTGCTGCCCTTGAACCCGGCTAGAGCTGATGGAGGCAACACCAGTGTGAACTAGAGGCTGCCACCCAGCCTCACTTGTGAGCACCTGTAGCCCCCTGAAAGCCCCAGAGCCGTGTGGAGCTGCCAGAGCACCCACTGCACTCGTGCTGCTGAAGGACTTCTCCCTTGCCTTTCTAGGATGCTGAGAAATAGCTAAATCGACATAAAAGCAGTGAGTCCACACAACTAAAGGTATCAATTGCTTTTAAAAAAATAATTTAAGTTAAACTCAGCGCAAACTCCATATATGTAAAYGATCTTTTATAAAATACCAGTGACAAAGCTGTCATTGATGAATTTTCTGTGGGTCACTGGCTATGCAKTTTAGGAAATTAGCCTCCTAAATGCTTGGGGAGGCAGATTGCGGAGCCATCACTACTGGCACATGAGGCAGCACAAGCCGGGAGAATTCCAGTATTCCAAACACTCAGGAAGAGGGACCTGTAGGCATGTTAGTGCCAGCAGCAGGGAGCTTGGGAGAGCTTGGATGCTCCTCATCTTTGAGGAATCCCTTTGAAGCCCAGTGCAAGGATCTGCAGAATTCTCAGTGTAACCCTTGAAAACAACTGCAGGCTCCATTTGGGCCAGGAAGAGCAGAGGAAGGGAGAATCTGCTCCTGCTCTGAAAAGCTGTACTGAGAGCCCCGACCAAAGCTCTGCCGCTGTAAGCGACTCCAGGAAACTCCCCGAGCGCAACCAGAACTGAGCGTTTCTGCCTCGAAACACCTGGGCACTGACCTAAGAGGTGCTAGCCTGGGAGCTAGCACCGACCTAAAGGAAGGGGACTCGGCAACAGGCACGGAAATCTTCAACCCAGAGCTGCTGACACAGACTCTGCGATCGGCCTTTGGCCGCGGACCTGGAGGAGGGAAAGGGAAAGGACGGGACTGGACAGTGCTGGCCGGGAAGGAGAACTGCCTGCCTTATCTTTCCTGCTGGATTTTCTCCATACTCCCCATATACTCCCCTTCTGTTTCAAAGTAGCACTCTGTGAGCACAAGTTACTTGCAGAGCATATTAGAGACTGAATTAGGTAAATGGGAAGTGGTTGATCCAACAGCTGCTCAGAGACTCTTAAGTAATAGTAAACATCCACAGTCATCAATGGTTTTAAATTAACTTCCTCTAATTCGTTTTCCACCTTTTGTCATCTGTTGCTACAACCCAGGACGTGCAGGCAGAAAGATCAGGCCCTCCCTTGCCTGGGAACTGTAATTCACAATAACACGATTAAAAAAATGCACCACCAGCATCAGGAGCCTGCACCCTGTGGCGCGTGCTTAGCCCCTGCCGAACGAGGACTGAGGACAGCGCTGCCAGACTCCCTCCTCCGTGGGTCTCTCAGCTGCTACAGCCTCCCTGGCAAAACTCCCCGGGATCTTTGCACTCACCGAGCCCTTGGCTGCTCTGAATTCCCGACGGATGCCGCAGGAGCAGGGTGGTTTTCCGGAGCCTGGCAGCCGCCAGCCCCTCTCGCAGGCAGCCAGTAGACCCTCTGCACGGCCACTCGGACCTGCACCTCTCTCCAGCCCACCGCTCCCTGGCTTTCCACCATTTCCAGCAGGGAGTCGTTCACGGCACTGAGGGCCAAGGGGAGCTGTCTGGAATCGCCCTTGGCATGGCCTTGGGTGCTCTCTGTCACCTGTGGAAGGAAAACCCATTAACAGAAACATTTCATGGGGCTCCAAAATCATGTTCCACCAAAGAGTAAAACTTCAACACAAAAAACGACCCCCAAAAGCATAGGGGTAGTTGCAAAATACTTAATACATATAAATTAATTTACATACTAATGTCCCACATTTATTGGGGATTTTTAATAAATGCTCATGAGAGAGTTCAGCACACGGTGCTCTCCTGTGCGAAACTGCTGCCCTGAACTGAACTAAATGAAACCGTGAGAAATAGGGGCTACACCAGGAAGAAAACAGCACTTATCATTCTTCTCCTCGGCCTGGGTTTCCTTTTTACTTCTAGATAATCTGATCCTGCCTTTCCTAGACAAGGATATTAACCATCTTTAGTGCGCCAGCCTTCAGATGAAGGTGGAAGTTAACAGGTGCCTGGTTTTATAGGATAGTAATTTAATGTCCCAACTTACAAGTTTCAAAATAAAAGAATCAGATGATTAATGAAAAGTAGAAAACCTTGCTCTCTTCCTATTCTTTTGCTACTTTCCCAAATAAATTCTATGAGTAAAATTATGATATGTGTTGCCTTAGTTTATTATTCATTACTTTTCATTTAAAAAAATCTCTCCTTTAGTAAAACTGGTATCCCATAGCCTGTCCCATAGGCTCCTTCCCAGCCCAGGCCAAATTTCCATTTCCACAGTGAATCCTGTTTTTTTCCAAAAGCTGGATGCCAAGAAGAGTTTGAAGAGGAACGAAGACCTTGGCACAACCACCGTGCACTAGTTCAGAAAGACATTTACAGCACTGAAAAGGAAAGGCCGGTGCTCTGCTACCTCTTGCCCACAAACTTGTTCCAATTAACTTGTCTACGGAGTTCCTGATGAAGTGCTTTTGTTTGGTAGGAAATATGAGTTGAACAAGTGATGGACACTGGTTGTGGCACACCAAAGTTGGAGCTGTTTAAAAGGTACAACGGTTGMAGAAATAAGGTTAGGCCTTGATTTACTTAACCTTATCATTCCCAGGCCTATGGGGAGAATTACATTTAAGGCAAACAGAAAATGTTAAGGCATTAGGTAATATTGTTCGCTAAACTCAAACTTCTCAAACATTAAGAGTGATTTTGGGTGGCCAACACAAAACCTTTACAAGACCTTTGGTTTCACAAAGCGCTGGCACAGAGAATCACAAAAACAGATCTCTTAAAACACCTCAGCTGGCACAACCAGTTAAAGACATTTACAGTCAATAGTAGCTTTAATATAAATAAAGTCACAACAGTGAAAATTAGGAACAAGAAGACACCAACCACCAGGGGTTGTCACCAACTGATGCTTTAAAGAAAGGATTGATCAGGAAACCACTTAGGAAATGGGAATTGAAATGGAATATTTATTAGAAAYGATAACTTGCATCAGTTAATAGAAAAGGGATCTTCTTTCAGATAAAACTTCAAATAAAATTCATCTACAAAGAGTAAGAGGGAAAAAATCAACGAAAAAAAAGAGCTGGAATTACTACTTAGCACGGTAGTGAGACTTCAGCAAAATAACTTCACAGCAGTCCAGCATCTGGATGGGCCAAAAGCCCGTGCTAAGAAAATATTATTTAAATAAACACCACATTATTCAGGCCTGGCTAAATGAAAGGGCAAACCTATCAGTCAGTCGTTCAGAATTTTTATGATGATTTCCAAACATCTGCTCACTTACTTCTTATAAAGTGCTCAGACAAAATGAACCTCACCTGATTTTCTGCAGATTCCTGGGGTCGATCATCTTTGGGGTCAATTAACCTAAATGTATGTGCCAAAGACACAACATTCTTCCTAATAAGCTTCTTTGCAGAGCCGTGTGCCTTCTCTTTTGCCTCTAAGTGTTCCCCACTAAGCACCTTCTGACTGAAGTAGGTATTCATGATCACGGGAACATTTGTATTGCGGAGAAGTAGCTTTTGCCTGCAGAAACAAAATTTAATGATAGCATCAAACGCATTACAAGTTCGAGTGGGGTAAAACACCTTTAAAAATAGGCCTTGTGCTGCATTCCCCTCCCTCTTGCTCCATCCAAAACACCCCATGAGGCCACCCCAAGGTGAGTTCTCCGAGATGCAGAGACAGGATCCCGCAGAGCCGGGGCGCTCGGTCGCTCCCTGCTCCAGGGCAGCTGCAGGGCCCCGAAGGTGCCGCAGGCCCAGCCCGGGGTGCCAGCGGCTCCGGCAGAGCCAGCTCCCAACGGCACCGCCGCYGGAGCAGCCACACAGGGTGCTCCATCCCGCTTCCCGCTGCCTCAGCCGTGGCTGCTCCSGCCTGGCGGCCCTCCCATCTGTTTCTAAAAGCAAAATTTTACACTTGTCCTAAGATATATCGCGTATTATTTTGCCTCAAAACCTCCGTCCTGTATGTTACTGCTATGAACTTGCTCTCTAAGACATCATTTTGGTTTTGGTGCCAATGTAAATTCCCACAGGCAGCAACTTCTTGCCCAGCTGATGAAGGTAGTGCTCGGGGAATCACTAAACACACCATCAGTTTAAGGCAAGGCATGTCCACATGTCGTTTTTCTTCTTTCCCATTATTATCACAATCATATACTTACAAAAACACATTTTATATTCAGTGGATACAAAGGTAATGAAGTCAGTTAACCAACACAATCTGCAATCCCATTTTCCAGAGACAATCAAAAGAGAAATGAACGCCACTTAAGTGTGTTTATTGCGGGCTCTGTTTTTCTACTATTAGATCTGTGTCATTTGGGAGTAAAACAAGGCCTCCTGCCCTGGCAGCGAGACTGAGCTGACCCGAGAGCAGAAGCAGCCTCAGCACTGGAGGCTCCAGCTTGCTAACCAGTCATTTCACGGTGACGAAGCAAGTTTTCACATCTACGAGATTACTGGCTAAAATGCAACCACACGCTGTAAAAACAAAATAAAAAAAAAAAATTATTTAGTTATGATCTCAACCAGACTAACTGTGCAATATGGGTTCGTAACAAGCTGCTTTATGCCATGTGGAGGGGACAGATGAATGGAATTCAATGCAGATATTTTTTAAAACAGTAAGAACAGTTGCAACACACTGTTAATATAAAGCCCAGGTATTTTTTAATTAGAAAAATGACAAGAARGGGGGAAATAGCTCTCTGCCTTTCAGAAAAAAATGTAATTTAAAAAAACTCTTTAAACTTAAAAGTATAACTSATATACACGCTATAAAAAAACTCTATTTCTTTCTATCTGTCATATTCGTAGAATCATAGAAATACGGAATCCTTACGTATCCATCCGTATGCAGACGCACAACGAGGAAGGCCAAGGCCTGTGTGGAATGACAGTTGGCGARGGATGTCAGGGACAACAGGAAGGGTTTCCATAGGGCGACCCSCCATGAGCTGCAGGGCTCATGTGGAAGAGATATAAATGGGCTAGAGGAAGAGCTKCCGCGGGTTGAGAAGGATTGGGTTAGGGATCACTTAGGCAAACTGGCCACACAAAAATCTATGGGCCCAGATGGGATGCACCCGAGAGTGCTGAGGGAACTGGCCGAGGTTATTGCTCAGCCTCTCTCCATCATCTTTGAGAGSTCCTGGAGAGCAGGGGAGGTGCCCGAGGACTGGAAGAGAGCCAACGTCACTCCAGTCTTCAAAAAGGGCAAGAGGGAGGAGCCGGGCAATTACAGGCCGGTCAGCCTCACCTCYRTCCCTGGAAAGGTGRTGGAGCRGYTCATYCTAGAGAGAATCTCCAGGCATATGAAGGAGAAGAAGCTGCTGAGGAGCAGTCAGCATGAATTCACCAAGGGGAAGTCGTGTCTGATGAGCCTCATAGCCTTCTATGATGGGGTGACAGGCTGGCTGGACGAGGGGAGAGCCGTGGATGTTGTCTACCTTGACTTCAGCAAGGCTTTTGACACCGTCTCCCATGATATCCTCATACGGAAGCTCCGGGAGAGTGGTCTAGACGAGTGCAYGGTGCAGTGGATCGAGGGCTGGCTGGAAGGTTGGRAGAGACCTTTAGAGATCATCTAGTCCAACCCCCTTTCACAGAAATCATGATTTGAAAAACACAGTAATTTCACAGAACATTTACTACACAGTGAACTTGATGACGATGCCCTCCTGCTCCCTGGTTGCTCCTGAGGTCTCATGAGTAGCTCTGCCTTTACAGACACTCAGTCTCTTGGCTCCAGGTAGAGTTGGTAACAGTGTGACAAGCAAGAAAGGTAGGACAGTAGCTCACAAGGCTCCCAAATAGCTATTGGCTGATAATTTTCTTCACTACAGGATTAAATTGAGGAAATAGTGGGTTTTTTTTYCTTCTTATTTTTTAAATATTTTTTTTTCTCCCAGATTTCATGGACTATACATCTTTTAGATATTAAACAAGCGGCTACTGAACCATAAATCTGTGAGCAGAATGGTTTCAAATCTGTTAAATATACAATTCATTAAAAACGAACTTGGGCAATAACAATGTTTTTATGTCAGCAAAGCAAGACATCTTACAAGATCTTACAAGCTTTTTATGTCTAAACTGTCATTACCCATTCTCTCTGAAGAATAAAAATGTATATACAGCTTGCAGTGAACCTCAGAAGAGCCTGGGCTGTCTTTGCATGCAGATAGGCAATGAAAACGTTAGCACCTACTTTCTGGAGACTTCTGCATTCAGACCCAAAGTAAACAGGAAATCTCTCCGAACACGAGGCTGCCACGTCACTGATGTCAAAAGAATGTTTGCTTGATCTAAATCATCGCGTTTGCTAAAAACACTGACGTTAATAGCAAATCGCTTTCAGGAACTCTGAGGTTTATGGGTTTATTTTATTTTTATTTTCCTGCTGCACATATGTGCCCAACTTTTTTCTTTTTTTTTCTTTTTTTAAAGCCAGGTAGGGTTTTACCCACTACAAACTGCGTGCACTCGGGTTTTGCTCTGCCTGTGCGTTCCATGCCCTGACTCCTTTTATAAYCACCAAGAGCTCTCTCTGCTCCGTTTTACGTGTACTACTGTGAAGCAATGACTAGTCAGCATTTCTGCAAAGGGAAAAAAAAAGAGACAGATAAACGCCCTTTCAGGAGAAGCCCTCCTTTTCTTACTTGCAATATTAGTTCCCTAAAAACACATTCCCAAAGGGTCTCTTTTACTAGACCTGCATACCACAGACTTAGCAGTCACTCACTCAGTGGAACAGAGCAGTCTACTTATTTTTTCTTATTTCCCARTGGCCAGCTTGCTCCCAAGGAAATGAAAATAACCAGCAATAAATAGAAACAGCAACCAAGTAAAAYGAAAGAAGATAGAAGTTTACAATAAGCTCCTTTATTTTTTATATAGGTGGATGGCTAAATGGAAATATTATATATATGTTCTCCTCAAAGAATGACAACTATAGCATTTTTTTTTCTTAAGTGAGAAAGCCAGCTAAATACATTCTGAGTCTTGGAAACTAAGCAGAACAAAACCAAYGTATTTCCAAGAGAAGATGTTGAACAGAAACTGCAACAAGCCACAAGAAAATGTAAATAAGGCAAACATGCTTTAAAAATCACTAAAATATACACCAATTTAAATACAGTGAAATGATAGAAGAAAAGTGGCTTGAAATTTTTGCACTGTGTAGGAACACAGTGAAAAATAAATTTAAAATTTTTTTTATATTATCTTTGAGGAAATTTCACTGTATTCCTGAGGTAATTCCTAAGGTAAGGTACTTTATTTACCATAAGGTAAAAATTAAATGATGCAGCCTATAATAAGCAAGTAGCAGTACCTCATGGACAACCTTTCTGCAAAAGCAGAAAGCCTGAGCTCCAAGATCCTGCTCTAAGATTTTCCTTGGCTATTCCACTAATGAGACCTAAGTCACCAAAGGCAGACATAAGCCATTTTCACACCTGGGGTTATCAGAGTATACGAATTAATGCTACCCCCTTTCCAGRAATTCTTATTAATGTTGCTCAGCTCAAACTAATTCTTCAGGACAGCGTTTTTGATCATCTTCACTATAGAAATCTCTGCATTGCCAGTGTAAAATGTCCATGACCTCTCTGCAATGAAAGCAGCCGGGGCAGGAGAAAACACAAGCACTTTGATTCTTTTTGCCTGCTGGGAAGATACAGACTCAGACAGGGAAACCTGGCAGAGCTTTTGAAAAAATCATCTCCACAAGCACTCACTGCTGTCCTGAGCTGCAGGACAAGCACCTGAGGCACCCAGCTGGTCGCAGAGGCTTTCCCCGTCCATCCAAGCAGCCCTGCTTAGTTGTCCACTTTAATGTGCGGAATCAAGAACATATAGAGCAAGCAGATGTTGTTACCTAATGCACTGAACGGGGAGAAAAGGTCCCCTCAGGTCTTCCTGCATGGCTGTGTGTTCTGTGTTCATGGAATRGGGCCTCTAGTGAAATATTTTTCCTATAGGAAAACAAAGGGACTGTAAAGAGATTCGAAGATGGCTTTGATTTTTGTAGCACACGTAAGATAAGTATTGACAGGATTTCCAGGACCTCTCTCAATTTCCTTCTAACTCCTTCACTGTATTTAAATGCTTACTTTCAGAGAGTCAGAAGGAGACATCACATTGTTAATCAAATCAWATGGAAAGGATGGGAAGAAAATAAGGTCCGCACACAGTCTTAAAAGAATTCCTCTCTCCCTTTCCTCTTGCTCAGCAAAGTATTCACAGCGGGACGAGCTCCCGCAACCGCCTTCAGAGGAAAGGTCGGCGGCAATGACCTGACGCGGCGGCTGGGAACTCCTTACGCTGCAGGACAGCTTCTTCTTCTCGTATYTGACTTCACGGACAACCAGCAGTTGCAGCCTGCGGTCACATGGCGAAGGGGCACGAGGCGGTACCGCTGTTTTCTCCCTTTCCAGCAGCAGCAGCAGCAGCTTGCCTGGTGGGACATGTCGCTCTCTTCCTCCCCTCACTCTGCAGGGGAGATCCCCTCACTTGTGG